ACCACCCCGGCATCCTTCTCTTATGCCTTGTGACCTAGGTCACCTCGCCGAAGTTGTCCATTCTGAAAGGCGCCAGTGGAACTGTGTTCTGAAACATGTCCCAACTCAACTGGGGCATCCTGGCTTCCCTCCACCATCTCTAGGAAAGGAAGTAGACTGATGGAGGAGAATGCATGGGATTTCATTCTGAAGGTGGAGATGCTTTATGATGGGAGAGGCACATCCATATTCATTTAGTGAAGATGTACCCATGAAACAAGCACTTGGTAGTTTGATAAACCCTAATACAGTGGCTAATAGTCAAGCGTTATCCATATTGTGGTTGTTGCACTCAACCACTGATGCCATGTTTGCTTCGTGACACATGAGTGTTTCCCACCCCTAATTCGGTCCAGCCGTGTTTACAGATCCCTGCCCCCAAACCAGGCGTCCTTGCTTACACTGGATGACCAACCCCAAGACACAAAATGCCATCTGCTACTATTCTAGCATTTCAGACACTTCTTCATGCATCGGAGAGGAATCCTTTAATCCAGCCATTAACATTAGTTTATCCCAAGAAAGATTTGTTTAGAGAACTCGACAAAATTTTAAAAACAAAGAAGTCCCGTTAGATCAGAAATGGTTATTGATTTAAGTTTGTTGGCCGTCTTCACAAACCACGTGACCAGGCCCTGTATAAACCCATCATTAAGAATGCCAATAGTTTAAAGAAGTTCAAATCTAGAGCCACATTGGGAATAGCATTAGTTACCATCCTAGTATAACTTTCCTAAATATTCTCCATCGTAAATGGATCGTTTATCTTCAGGATCCTTGGGCTGGTGAGGCAGTCCTGGGCTGGACATAGTATATGATGTCTAAGATGGATATCTGCATCACCTTGCCATCCCTTGGCTTGCCAAATTATGTGGCTTCAGTGTAAAAGAAACCTGATTTAGAGTTTCTGCCATTGTTTAGCCTTTGTTGCCTTGAGCATGTGCAGCCAACATCGAGTGATCCTGTAACAGGAGGATGTTTTAAGTGAGAATCATCTCTTTCCATACCATTTCCCAGGCTAAGCCTCTCTCCTGGCCCAGTGAGAATCTCTTCAGCTTCCCCTCCAATCTGTGATGAGGAGGACATGCTGCAGGCCCAGCCCTGCCCGCCGTCAAGGAGCAGAAGCTGAAATACTCCAGCCTCTGCTCTCAGCACCCATCACTTTCATCCCAGTGAGCCTTAGAGCCAGAGACCTGGGTCACATCCTGGGCAAGTCACTTTCTTGCTGTGGGATGTCAGGCATGCGACTTAAGGAAATTGAGGTTAAGAGAAGTTATCTGCAAAGATGCAGGTTGTAGAAACTAGGGTTGTTTGAGGATCAGATGGGATTTGAGGGGCCCTAGAGAACTTTACATTGGTTACCTACTGATTTATAGATATCACATGAATCCTTCCATTTAATAATACTTCCAATAGCCATCATCTATTTAAATAAATCCTCAAGATTACCTCATGAATCAGGTACTAGCTCCAGCCCCTCCAAGACTCTGACTTTATAGTTGTAAAATACAGAATTGGTACCTTGCCTAAGACCATTTAGTTATTTAGTGACTGAACTGAGCTAACACAGGGCTATTGTAGTATGAATCTCACATAGTAGATGTCATGGAATCGGGCACAGATAATTTTGGATGAGGATCTTGTTGGCATCCTTCAAATCGTGCACCGTGAATAACCGTCATTCTGCACGAAGGCGGGCACACCCTGCTCCCAGTCTTAGAATACTTTCAATTGTATATTCAGTCACTGAGGATACAACAAGCTATGCTTCTCTTTTCCCTGCAATAACATCCTTCCCCCAACTCTGGTTCCTGGAATTTTCAAAAGTCCTGATAATATTTCTGGAATGTAAATTTTCCCTTTTCACCATCCGTTGCTCTGTGCTCCTTCAGGGCCCCCCGTGCTCCCTCAGACACAGGCTGGTGGGAGCCAGTCTTCTAATGCAGATGCTGACTTAGAGAGGTGACTTCTCCCCATCCATCAACTCTAACTGCATTCAAACATGTTCAATATGTGGGCTTCTTGATAACTTCCACTCTATGGAAAACAAAATGGAGGGAAATGATTATTGGCACAAAGGGGGGAAGCCATAAATCTTCAAATCAGATATAGGACAGATTGGAACAATATGGGTTCTCCAAGGTTGCCATGATAATGTGCCTAATAACTCTCCTTGGGCAAAAAGGCAATCTGCTTTCAATCAATCTCGCTTTTTCTGAGCAAAAATACCAATTATGTGGAAGGAAGATTTTTTTTCCTCCCTTTTTGATAAAGGCTGCTCTCCACCCCAGAAATCATGCTGTAGCTAAAAGATATATATTCTCAATTGTCTAGAATGGTATTGGACAGCTAGCCTCAAATGAGAAAAGTCAATCCTTTTTTTTTTTTTCTCTCCTCTCCTGCCTGCATTTGTCTACTTCTTAAGAGAACTGAAAGCTAATTAAAGGCTTAAGGGATAATATTGATTGCATTGGAATATATTTTATATGTACCCAGCACATTTTCAGCTAAGAGAACCTTGACTCTCTCTAAGGCTGAATAAATCAGCTGGCGGGGCCTTTGATTCAAGGGTGAGAGGGTGAACTCATCTCCTTCCCTTCCACTTCTCACATATCTGTCCTAGAGATGAATGAGTTCGAGCAGGGAGAGGGAATGCTGGCAGTTGTTCATTCAGTCCTTTGCGTACAGGATGGGAAGGATGAATGTTTGGGCATTTCCCCGGACCTATCATTGATTCGAGTCCAGGTTTGAATAATCACCAGGCTTCTACTGGTATAGAACTTTGAGCTTTGCTGTGCCTGGGGCGGGAAGCTGGCTGGGTGGCATTAACCTCCCAGATCCCTCATCTGTTGGATGGGAATAAGGAGCTTGCCCAAGATCCCACACATCCTTGGTGGCAGAGCAAGGGATCCCGTCTGGCTTATTCTCACATCCAGGTGAATGGGAGGACCTCCACCACGTATGTGTCCTGCGGAGGTGCCCATACATCGGATTCATGCTGGCCTTGTTTGCAGTCATGGAAGTCTGTGGACAGAAAACATTAGCACTGTCCCCATGCAGCCTTGGATGTCAGATCAGGACACCCTGTGTCTTGGTCACTTTCTGAACACCCCTGGCAAATTCGTAATCAGAAATCTTATGTAAAACATGCAAATCCCTTTGCGGCTTGTTTTGTCCATATAAATGCCCATGTGCTACAAGAAATATTTTAAGAGATCGCAGGATAAAAATGTATGTAATCCAAGTGTTTGGTTCATGTCCCGTGTTCTGACACCCAATGTATTTCCAGAGGGAGTTAGTCATGTGGGTGTGGGGCATTTGGAGAGGTGGCCAAGGGACCTTCTTGAACCTGTCTGGTCCTGGCTAGGAAACAAAGTGATCGTGTTGGAACATCTCTTCTGAGGCAGCCCACAGACAGTCTTTCCTCCCCAGGATGGCCTTCGCTTGCCCAGCCACAGAGTGAGTGTGGCACCGTAACAATAACAGTCCATAATGGTGATATTATTAGCTGCATTGTGCATATTATTGATTTACTCTTTGTTCTGCATCATTATCCTTTCACCAATGAGTTTACTGCCTTATTCTCACATACTTAGTCAAGCACCAAATTACAGCGAAAGGGCAGGCTCTTGTAATGGCATCTAATGGAACATTGCATAAGCGATCATCACTTCCTCCCATTATGAGCTGCCTCCAGCCAATGAGCTTTCTGCCTTGTTGGAATGTGCGCTGAGCAATTATGAGGTGCAGGGGGCCTAGACGTTCTAAAATTTTTTCCCACGAAATTACGTGCTTCAGTGTTCACCACCTGCCCCTGCCTTAGAACCTGGGCAGGGACTCAGCCTCTGTCCCTAGCAGCCCGAGAGGCACAGGGACCTGGGCTGAGCCCCTTGCTCTGGTCTTCTTATTAGAAGCCAGAAGGTTGCCTCTCCACAGTCAGGCCCCGGATTTGGGTCATGGGGCTACCCCTTGTACCAAAGGGCTTAGTCCTGATGGAGCGTCGGATAGCAAATGTCAAGGGCCACCGGGTAGCCAGATTGGTTCAGATTCATCAGATGGGTCCAGGAGCCCAAAGATGTCGGGTGGGACGGTTGTCCCAGCAGTTCTGGAAGAGAGGCTCATCTCTCCAAGGGAAGCCACCATCTCTGGAAACAGAAGTCCAAACCTTGCTGGATCAAGGCAAACCATTCCCACCTCATCCCTTTCTAGCTTCTCCCCATCTTGAAGTAGAATGCTGTGGCTCTTGTGGAGGTCCTGGGCAGCCCAGGGAAGCAGCTGTCTGGGGATACACAACTTGTGGCGTGATCTGTGATTCCATAGGCGTCCCATCCCCATTTAGCCCTGAGTAATGCTCACTTACTGTAAAGTGTTACATGCCCCCGTTGTCGGAGGAGTTATGGCGGAAAAATGCAAAATTTCCTTTTTACTGCTTATGGCCAGCAGAGCCCATAACGTGTCAAGCCGCACATTAGCCACCCTGATAAAAGTCCGCTTTCTTACACACAAAATCATCGTTTCAGCAAGATTTGTTATCTCATTACCTGATAAGCTCTATGTCATAAACCAAGACTCATTCGGTAAATCTCTCAAGAGGACGCTTTGTGGGCAGAAAGGGAAAGATATGAATCTGCAAGGGACTTGATAATGCAGCATTTAAGCACAAGCATAATGTCACTTATTGTTCAATGCATAAAACCACTTGGCCAAACGGTTGGGCTTTTAATAGGATTTTGTGCAGCATCAGGTGAGAAGCCATATGCCTTTTCTGCCGAGGAGTCTCTGAGCACCTGCCAGCACCGCTGCTTTGCCTCGCGGCCCTCTGGGGTTGGGAGCTGGGCTTTCACGGAGGCCTGGGGAGGAGAGGAATGCTTCCCTGCAGCTGTGTGCTTCCTATGTCTTGCCTGGGGTGGGTGCCGGGTCAGCGCGGGGCTGGCCCCATCTAACTGGCTTCTCCTGTTCAGGCACATTGTGGTCTGCGGACACATCACTCTGGAGAGTGTTTCCAACTTCCTGAAGGACTTCCTGCACAAGGACCGGGATGATGTCAATGTGGAGATCGTCTTTCTTCACAAGTAAGGGGCCCCTGCTGTTTCGAGACCCTCCACTCAACCAGGCACCCTGAGGAGGACTCCCTGAGTGTCTGTAGGAGTGGTGGTGTGGGTGCCATGTTGTGGGGGGGTCAGTGCAGAGTTGAATTGGCCATGACCCCAGATGGCCTCCTTGGAGAGGACGGTATGGAACCATGGAAAGGGAACCAACACATTAGTTCAGTGGTGAGAATGGCATCTGCTTCTGTGGAGGCAATTCTGGCAAAGAAGAGTGAAGTTCATTATGGGTCAAACACATCATTACCGTCCCTTCAGCTGTCTGGATCAGTTCGATCCAGGTGTGTCCGCAGTGTCTGGTGTGGAATTAGCTCTCTAGTGTGGATTCTTTACAAGGGCAGGAGGGACAGAGTGGTCAGACAAGACACAAACAAGAGGAAGCAGGGTATGAAGTACTAATAACAGCTGCAGCAACAAAGGCCATTTCTAGAAACCTCAGCGTAGGACCCTGTGCTGGTCCCTGCCCGTGCATACGGTCTCTCCCTTCATCCACACGGGGAGTCAAAGTGCATGCTGTGAACTCAGAGTATTGTATATAAATCTTGCCGAAGAGGTTATTTAATCTCCCTGGGCCCCAGTTTTCACATTCATAAGATAGGGAGATCACAGTGGTTTCATTCTACCCCGTAGGGAGAATGAAAAGAAATAATCCGTATAAAGAATACAGAGCAGAATCAGGCACACAGTAAGTGCTTAATAAATATTTGCTATTACTGTGGAAGATAACATGCATCATGTCGATAAGCAACTTAGAAGATAGGTCTTACTATGTTTGCTGTACAGTTGAGGAAAGCAAGACCTCTTCTGCTCAGTGTGGTTGGGACTTTAAGCTTCACCTGATCCCCTTTTAGGTAAAAGTTAGTCTGCCAAAGGGATAGAGAGTCTGGAGACTTAGGCATGTTGACTTGGGTGGCACCATCTTTTTTGATGGATATTGGGCCACCATAGTGCCAGCACTAACTCCAAGTTATCTAGGGATAAAGCTTATGAGTTGGTGTTGGCCGCATAGAGGGCTGATGGCCCAGGACTCAATCCTGCCCTGAGAGCCCATGGAATTCGATTTCCCTATAAGCTTCTGTTCTGTGCATCTCCTTCTTTTTGACATTTGTCCATAGAATACCAAACTGACCACCATGTCTGAGTGCCAGCATTTTGCCTCTCAACACTGAATTCTCCAAGTTCTGAAAGGACCACCAGGCCATGAGTGCAGGAGCAGAACTCACAGATTCAGTTCGGTGCTTAGCGTGTCCTTACCAGCTGAGGGGCCTGTCCTCTGCAGAACATTATGGGAGGTTCAGGAGAAGTAGTGTGCGTAGGTTTTGCCGTCATATTGGTTGGGATTTCAAGATGAGCACGTGTGCAACAATGAGAACTCAAAATCTAACCTATATTCACTGACTGAAGTCAATTTCATCAGGAGGCAGAATTGCACCAGGCACTTGCTTCAGGGAAAGACCAGCATTTCTTGCATGACCAGGCAGACTTCCCAAGAGGGGCCCAACCAGTAATGGGTCTCAAAGACTGGTCCAATGTGCACAGGCTCCGTTTCTCTCTCACACAGCTTGAGACTGAATCAACAAGCCAGTGACCAATGCTTTACTTGCTGGGATTCACCTTCGTGTCCCCAGCATCTGTCAGTGTCAGCACTGTAGTAGATGGCCCAGTTAATTAACCTCTTGAAGATTTGGGTTAATAACATCCCTTCCTCCAGGGTTGTTTTGAGGTTTAAATGAGTTAATATTTGTCAAGTGCTTGAAACGGTGTCTGCCGCATAGTAAGTGCTAGAAAACATTAACAATTCCTACTAAGTACTTAATGAATGTTAGGCAAGCTTGGACAAACACAGTTCTTGGAACCTAGTAGGTTTGAACCAAATATCATCTCCCCAGCGCCTAGCCTGATACCTTATAGAGAGTAGAAATCTTTCATCTCCACAGAAGTAATAAATGGATGAGTGGGTCAATCAGTGTTTTAATCCTTGTTCTCCAATGGGAACGATGTCTGGACAGTTCAGCACAGAGAATGATGAGTAGTGTACACATGTGTGAATCAAGAGCAGTACCGAGAGTACATTAACTTGGTCTGTGGCTGCTCAGAGGTGACATGTTTTGATCCAGGCCCTGGGGGATGAGAAGTCCATGTGGCTGAGAATCAGAGAAGAGGCTTTGAGGGAGGGAACGGCAGGAGGCTCTGCCAGGGGGCGCCTTTGGCTGATCTCTGATGTCACAGCTCCGTTTCTCTATTCATAAAGTCGGGATTCCGTTCCTAACAAAGTCGAAGATGTTTCGCCTCATAGGCCTCCGACTTTGTGAAAACTGTGAGCCTCTTTATTTTATCTTAGTAACGGTTTGGGTTTTCAGTGGGCTGGGGTTTTACTCCTCTCGAGGGTGAAACTTTTATTTCTGGCAAGAAAAGGGGCTGCTTTGAAGGTGAAAGCCTTTTCCTAGGTCTTTCTCTTTGGAAGTCAAAAAAAAAAAAAAAAAAAAAAAAGAAGGCCATGGAAGCAGAAATGCCGGAATTTATTATATTAATGGCTGTTTCTTCTCTCCCTGCCAGCATTTCCCCTAACCTGGAGCTTGAGGCTCTGTTCAAACGACATTTTACTCAGGTGGAATTTTATCAGGGTTCAGTCCTCAATCCACATGATCTTGCAAGAGTCAAGGTAAGAAGTAAGAGGTGACTTCTGCTTTTATTCCATCTGAGAGGGGACTGACTCTGTGGTGAGGGCACATGCCTCCTAGGATGGCCAAGAGTCACCTCCACACCCCTAATGAGATAAGTCAGATGCCACCAGCCTTGACAACACCCTTTCCCTGGTCCCAGAGCTTCATTCTGCTGGCACTTGCTAGGCTACTTCCCGCACTTGGACTAGTCATAAAATGAAAGTTATTTTGCCAGTTCCCTCAATGTCAGCACTCCTCAAGGAAGTAGACCAGTTGTACGGATTCGGTAACCTCATATACAATGTAATAATCAAGTAATTCCCATCTTAAATACTTAAGTTGGTCTCTGTGTAGTTCTGAAATCTATTATTTACATTGGAAAGGAGCATAACATGAAGGATAAAGTATAAATAAAATTCTGCCAGGCCATAAAACATTTTTAGCTTCCTTTTTTTTTTTTCTGCCACCAAAGACTAAAAGCATAAAACTAAACATGCAGATATCTGATATCACTTGGTAAAGGGCTAATCTTTCATTCCAAAATCTGTTAAGTTAAAAATCTTCTTATAAAGCAGACCTGAGGCTTATAAAGTAAAAGGATAGAGCAAAGTGACATCTGCTATTTTGCTCGTTTTATATAGATTTTGTAAACATGTTCAATATTTGCATGGCAGTGGATATAGACTAATATTGTGAATCCACTGACTTCTAAATGCTAACTGTGGTCACTACATAATTTAGTAAATAATGTCATTGGCAAACATGAATAAGCAGAAGGATCTGGGTAAATTCTTTGGATTATTAAAGAAAACTAGAGACAATTTGTGACATGCTGCGGAGGAAACAATGGCCTCCCACCAAAATGCAGGAATGGTCTATTAAGTACAACATATCAAGTGGGACAGATTGCAGACCTGAGCCAGAATAAGAATTCTTATGCTTATAGAGTCCAGTTAATCTTAATATTATCCAGACATGATCCAAGTTATGACTAATGTGAAATCTAATGAGAACTTGGAGAAAATAGTTACTGTTCAAGGACCTAATTTGATGCAAGCAATTATTAGCATAACTCATCATTCCCTCAAAGGCATAAATCTTATTTTGGCTCATGTTTAGAGAAGTCAGTAGGTTCTGAGGTCATCTGTAACACATGATTTCATATACATAGATTTGTTGTCTTTTGAATATCTGAATGCTAATTGAATACTAAATAATATTGAGTTGTTATCTGATTTAGGGCTCTTATTTCCTCCTGTTCCACAGTTAAGATGTGAAAAAGGTCAGATGAAGGACTTTGGAGTCTCAATATCTGAATCCTTAACTATTCGATTAACTTGGTGACCTGAGAGAAGGGATTTAGCTCATCTGACGCCATTTCCCGACCAGAAAAATTAAGATGATGGGGTAGATCCATTGGTAGGGGAAAGGAGGCAGAGAAGGGACTAAAAGGCTTCGTTAATTGTTATTTAAAGAAATCTGGAGAGATTACATCTAAGTCACTATGCCAAATGAAAAGTATAATTACGAAGGTCCACGTTGTACCCTTGAACAACAACAAGATGAAATGTTTATACCATAACAAGAACTTGCGAGCTACACTTTTGACAAAAACTATAATGTCTCAGAATTATTTTTTTCTTTCCTTGCAAAGCACCAGATTCCCCAAAAGCTGTCAACAGAGAAAGACTGCAACCAGGCATGGCTATTTATATGTTTGTGTTCTGTGATTTTCCTTTCCGTGTCTTAGATAGAGTCAGCAGACGCGTGCCTCATCCTTGCCAACAAGTACTGCGCTGACCCTGATGCTGAAGACGCCTCCAACATAATGAGGTAACACCGGGGAGACCAGGGAAGGCTCTGGGCTTGGCGCTCTGCAGCCCCTTGGCTGCCCTTTTGGGTTCTCTGCAGAGCATCATCTCTGTGGGAACTTTTTCCCTCATGAGCCACTCTATACCTTGCCACGAACATAGGTCCAGGGGGAGCTGAGGCGCTGGTGGCTGTGGAGGGCAGTGCCACAAGGCATCATAGACAGGAAGCTTATCCTTGTCAGGTGGGATCCCTGGGGCTCACAGTGGGTCTTGGGTTTGAGATGTTTCAGACAGGACTAGGAAAGAGAGATTGAGATGGGTGTAGGCCTGAAGTAAGTACCATTTTCCTGAAGGGGGAGTAGACCTGCCAAGACTTGACTGTGGGTGATTTTGTCCCCCAGAGACACTTAGAGATATCTGGAGATGTTCTTGGTTGTTGTAATGAACGGATGACGCTGCTCACATCCCAGGAGGTAGAGGCCAGGTGTGCTGTTCAACCTCCTACAACGCACAGGGTTCAGTTCCCCACAGCAGAGAATTATCTGGCTCCAAATGTCAGTAGTGCCAAGCTTGAGAAGCTCCATGTTGGAACTTTCCAAGTGTGTCTGTGGCATTGATTAATATCCCCCTCAAAGAGGAGCTGGTTGACTGATGGGCTTGTTTCAGCCAGTTTCCCAGAATGAAACAGTGTCTTCACTGAAAGCCTTCTCAGTGCTTTTAATACTAACATGCTTTTCTAAGATAATGATCGACAGGGAACTTAGCAAACCTATTTGACTCCAACCCTCCCTTACCCCCCCCACCACCTTTTTTTTACAGAACATCTTTGGGTGGGCAGGGACACACTCTGGAGACCACCACCCAGTGCCCTCCCTGGAAATGGGTGAGGCCCATGGAAGACCATCTCCTGGCCTGACCTGACACGGCTGATCCCTACTCCCTCTTCTTTTCTCATTTCAGAAGAACACTGTTCTTCGACAATGGAATGCCAAAAAAGATATTTAGCTCCAGAGAGTTAAAGCCCCTCAGGATTCTTCTTCTCCCCTCTGGCCTACATTGCAGAGTAGTTAAGAGGCCTGGAAGGGAATAATACAGAGATGCTTCTGGAGAAGAGATGAACTAAGAGAAAACATTCCCTCCCACTACATTCCCAGGAACTCTTGCCTAATTGTGAGCAGCCGTCCTTTGGTCCAGACAGACCTTCCTCTCCCCACAGCTTGGTTTGCTGCAGCCTGGGAATGTACTGGGATGAGGTCTTGGGAAGTGGCATCATCACTATGCTCCCGTCTCCCTTCCTTTTCTTCTAATCGGTGGCCCCAAGTGACATGAGCTTTCCCATCACTGAGGTGGGGGACTCCCCTGGTGCATCGGGGATGAGCACGTCTGCCTTTCCCTCAGCATCTGGTCCCTGTGTCTGGCAAGTGACATCTGGCACAGTATTCTCTTTCCTCCCGCTTTTCTTTGGCAATATGTTTTCGTGCAGTTGTTTTAAGGAAGTTGATGCATGAACTCTTGTCCCCACGGCGCTTGCCAGCCTGCAGGGAGGTGGTGGAATGGGGACATGGGTCCACACCGGGGTCCACCCCCTAAACTAGTCACAGCTGGAATGTGACTACAACAGCTCACCATCGGGTGCTCCAGAGGGACCCCCTTCCTGAACTAGGATTTCCATCCTTCCCCACGTTTTCATGTCATCTGAAATGATAAAAACGTAGCCTTTCAGGAACTAGTCTTCCTGATCGTGAGATTTTTCAAACATAAAAACAAAAGAAAATAAAGTGTAATGTGTTGACCCCTGGAGAAGTTTTGGGGCTAGTGCCTTTTATTTTCCCCCTTCCAAAAGTGAATAATGGAAATGAGTAATAGTTTGGAAATGGGCATTTCTCTGAATGGCAATATTTCATTTAAGCCCAGGCTGCGGTAGGGCCGATATGAAGACTTGTAAGTTACCAGGGTGTTTGGCGGGACGCCACCGCATGAAAATTACAGGACAGAGGTAGCATCAGACATGTGGTGAAGCCATACAGTAACCAGAATCAGAACTAAGGCCCAGGCAGCAAAAGGAAATGGAAAGTTCAGGGTTAAAAACTGGGCTCTGTCTTTCCCTTATTTGTATAATCCTCCTTTCTCCTTAGTTTAATGAGACCAATCTGCCCTTCTTGAAATTAAAATGTCAAAGAGTCATTTGAAATGAGCTAATGCAGGAGACCCCGCTCTGGCAGTGAACGGAATTCAGGGCTGACTGAAGCTCAGAGTCCTTGAATTATAAGCAAGAGCCAACACAACACTTTTTCAACAATAAAATGAATTCCTTCAAGAGCAAAAGCCCAGGGTGAATTTGTGCGGGAAGAGGCTTCTGTGCGATCCGTTTCCTAAATTCACAAGTTGTAGCTTTTCAGATAAAACTATTCCCTGACTGCCTTCTCTCCATTTTTCCCCCCCAAAAGGGATGAAGCACGGAGAGGTTTCTTGGTGCAGAGTTTGTAGGGGTGGTCCTAATCCACACACTCACATTTCTGATTAGGGTTCGCTGTGGGCTGTCCTGTGGAATTCCATTCTTTAGCCTTCCTTGTCACAGAAGGAAATGTGCAATGTCACCTCTGACAGAGTCGGTAATGACAAAAACCATAACTTACACGTGGAGAGAGCTTTTAATGATTTCAAAGCATTTCCACATCTGGTCTTTCATTTGCTGCTCATACCAAAGCCTGTGAAATAAATAAAGCAGGTACCATTGCCCCCAACGTCCAGATGAGGAAACAGTCACAAAGAACCCAGGGATTTCCTGAAGGTCACCCAGTTCCTTAGTGCACTGGGACTGGAATCCAGGTGTTTCTACTCCTCCATTTGTAGCCCAGTCTCAGGGAGCAGGAGCCAGGGGTGGATTGGGGAAGGGCAGTGACTCATAGGCAGTATAGACTGAGGGCAGTTTTTCTGGGTGGTAGGGGGCGGGGAGAGTGGAATTTTCTACCAGACGGTGGCCGTCCAGCCAGGCCTTGGATTTTTATTTTCCACCAGCATTAAAGTCTTCACTTAGACTCTGTTATCTATCGAAGGCTGAGTCATTGATCCCGACATAAGAGCCCTGCTCAGAAATCATTTTTGTCAGTGGCCATGTGTGTGTGACAGTTCGTATCATTTGTCAGGCTGGTTGTTTGATTCATCATTGTTGTCTCAAGTTGTTAACTTGGAGAACTGGACTCAGAGCAAGTTATTTCTAGGCTTGTCCCCAGGGTATGTGAGATTGCAAACCTCCCTCGGCCCATGGGTTGAGCTCACCTTATTTAGATGTCTCTGTAGGCAGTAAGCCTGTGACCCTGCTCTGGAGCCGCTGCCCCACTACACGGGCTCACACGCCGACACCAAGGCACCAGAGAACCGCTCTCTTCTTTCCTGCCCCGGGCACAGTCTGTGGCCATTCTGTTGATTTCTTTCTCACGCTGCCATGGGGTACGGTGATGGACACCATTTAACCAGGCCCTGTGCCGGCAAGCCTTCTGGATGGTCCTGGCTGCTGACCCCCCATTCACTCTGTTTGGGCACAGTCAAATTCGTGTTCCCATCAGACTCCAAGAGTAGGACAGACCCTGCCTCAGCTTTGGTTCTTTCTTTTTCAGAGTAATCTCCATAAAGAACTACCACCCGAAGATAAGAATCATCACTCAAATGCTGCAGTATCACAACAAGGTAGGACAGCGAGAGGCGGGGCCCGTTGCAAGCTCAGAGGTGCACAAGCATGCCTGGTCTCTCTCCTCTCACTGTACAGCTGTGTGTGCACACACACACACGCACATGCACACATACACAAATGCATGTGCACACATACACACGTGCACATGCACACACACATGCACCCACACATGTGCACACATGTGCTGTTGTAATCCAAAGGGTTAGACAAGGTGTGCTGGGTACAAACCTCCCTGGGGCCTTTCTTCAGTGCAAGCACCTTATTGACTGCTGCTCACTGGAAGGCAGCATCTGTTGGACCCCCAGGTTGGAATATTGATTTAACCTTAGATCCCAGTTTCAACAATGTCCACTTTTTATATGCTCTACTCCTTTCTTTCTTTCTTTCTTTTTTTTTTTAAAGATTTCATGTATTTATTTGACAGAGAGAGAGAGATCACAAGTAGGCAGAGATGCAGGCAGAGAGGGGGGTGGGAAGCAGGCTCTCCGATGAGCAGAGAGCCCGATGCGGGGGTCGATCCCAGGACCCTGAGATCGTGACCCAAGCCAAAGGCAGAGGCTTTAACACACTGAGCCACCCAGGCGCACCTCTACTCCCTTCTTCATTCAGTATCTCCTGACTAACTGCTGTGTGCTCAGTGTGCTACCTGACCTCCCTAACCCCCCAGGCGTATAAGTGAAGGAGTCCTGCCTTGTGCCCTCAGGGACGGACGTGGTAGTCCGGGGTAGAGAGCTTCCCAGGCGAGTGATAGGGCTTTGCTACCAGAGACCAGGTGACATGGAGGAGCAGACCACGCAGGGGAGTGGAGAATGAGGAACTTGGCCTTCTCCCGCTGCAGAGGAGAGCAGGCTTGGTTGAACCAAGGGAAAAAGCTGCTCTCCAGAGACAAGACAGAAAGGAATTTTCCTCCTGTTCTAGTTTAGAAGGGGATTGGGAAGAAAACAAACTTTGGAGTCTATGCTCTTTCGCTTGTGATTACTTCTCAGTCTCTCATTCAGAGGCACTGCTCCTTCACGCCGCCTGTCACTGAGATCCCAGGGAAACAGCTTTGGGGGAGGGAAGGTGGCACCTTTCTCCGTTTGATGTGGAACGGGTTATTCCCCGTAATGAGGCTGGGAAACCGGAGGCTGCTCAGTACCTGGAACCAGGTGTTCTGTCTGAACACAATAACTCCCTGCTGGGTTATGAGTGAGTGTATGTCCATCTTCTAGGCCATATTCCCTACGAAATAGGCAGTCAGGTGACCCAGAGAAGACCCCGTTCTGCCAAATGCACCAGTGCCATGCCATTATTTCTTAATTGCTGGCAAGGGCTGCCCCATTTCGCCGCGTGGAGGCCCATCAGAGGCCATTGTGAAGTGGGGCCTGCTGTCGGTGACTGGCCTACGGCTTGCGTCTGCTGCCCACTGCCCGGCCCTCGGCAGGTGCTTCCAAGGCATAACGTGTTACACTCCAGCCAGTGGGCTTGGTGGTGGGCACCCAAGGTCCCATTGTCCTGTTCATCTCTGGAAAACCCAAGGACACGGAAGACATACAGTGAGGATATCGGGGACTCACATGCATCAGTCTGGAGAAGTTTCTAGACAGCAGCCCCTATAGGTGGAGGGGAATTTTATTAGCAAGCCTGTGGCTGGAGACAGCTCCTCAGGCAATAAACTCTTCTTTCATTTATGATTTGAAATTTCATTCAGTGTGGGAGTGCTTTAAGCTGTTGTTTAGGTTTTTGGCTGAATTTAGATTGATGAGGGAAATTAATGTAGTATGTTTAGAAAGGGCTGTCAATTCCTTTTTTTTCCCCTTCCAATGAGTATGGATGCCACCTCTTCAAGAAATTCAGGATGGTTTCACTGTGATTTCTGTCAAAGTCCAAGTAGCTGAATGGACCTAGGATCTGGATGGAACCTGGTCAGTACTCACATGACTATAGCCACGCTGAATGTCTGGTCCACGCTGAGGACTCTGGTACAAACCTTTTCATGGTAATTATTCAGGAAAAAATGATGAAGGTGGCAACCAATCCTGAAAACACATTTTCAGGAAATGTGCCGAAAACACATTTTTGCTTAGAATCACCCCAATATGTTGGGGTTTCAGAGTCAGGGAAAATCACGTGTGAGACTTTGCCCCTGTAGGATGAGTAATGGATGAGCCCACCTTTCTTGATCATTTCATCTCCCTCTTTTAGAGGGAGCAAAAAGTCCACTGGTCATTGTCATCCCATTCCTCATGGAATTGCAGATGGACACTTGTCACCCTGCTCTATAACTGTGCTATTTTGTGAGATGCTCCCACCTTCTCTTTAATCTCTTTTTTTCCCCATTGCCTTACAGTCTTATTTTTCTTCCTCTCTCTGTCCTTTCTCTTCATCCATGAATAAATGCCCAGAGATCTCCACCCATTAAAACTTGCTTTCTTGAAAGAACCTGGTATGTGTATGTAAACTTATGTTGCACTCAACACACTTTAAGTGATAGTTAATCCCATAATTGGATATGAGACTTAAAACATAAAGAATTGCAATTCCCTGTGCTCTAATGATCCTGGTATTCCAGGGCCTAAAGGGATGTAGGCAAGCTACCTACTTCTCTCCAAGTAAAATTGGTCCTGAGTTTGTCATCATAGTAATCTTAGATATTTGTGGCATATTTTATGGTTTTAAAAGAGCTTGACATCCGTTATCACATTTAGTCCTCATTTGGCCATCTGTGCATGCTAGCATCCCAGTGTGACTCCAGACTGGGAGTCTGTGCTCTCCCAGACAGAGCAGCTCTGGTGGGTACAACTCATGGTCACTTGGCAGGCACTGAGCTAAGGACAGAATGGCCAGCTGTCACCTTCTCTGTAAATAGAGCCCACCCCACTGAACCAAACTGTGGTTCCTCACAGCAGGCCTTCTAGAAGGACCGGTGTTTTCTAAAGTGGATCTGATTTCATGGAGAGAAACACTCAGCCCAGCCCAGATGTCTCTGAAGGCAGAAAGAAGATGGTACAGGGCACTCATTTTTGATTTGAGGGTTGTAAATGTCTTGAAGCTTTTCAAGAAAAGAACAGTTGATGATATCATAGTAAAGTATCACTTGCGATGTCTTAGCTGCTAATGGATTTTTAATTTTCCGAATAGATTCTAGAAAAAAAGGTCTTTGTCTAGGACCTAGAAACCAAGTCCCAGTGGCCCAATGGTGATGCAAGTTCTTTGAACTTTCTCACTAAAAACACTTAGATACTTGGGCAATAGTGTTGAAGTGTTTTCTCTGTCGTGAACTTTGTTCCTTATGGTGGCTTTCTCAAAGTTATTTATGTATAGGGAAGGCTGGGACTGGACTTGACTTCCACTGGTTTCTCAGGAGAGCATATTTTCACATTCCTCCTTCTTGAGATGAAGAGTGGTCCAGTGGCTAATCAAAGGGGGACCCTGGTCCTGCTACGCCTGTTTTATCAGGCCTCATTCTTCAGATCCAGGATTTACCTCTAGACTTCTGTGCAGTGATGCTGGCATTTTCCAGTGGACCCAAATATCCCTCAGATGAAGGACAGAAGTGTCAGAAACAGAGGATTTGAGTTCCTTGTGAAATTTCCTCTCTTCATCTCATGCACACAGATGTTCCTCCTGGCCTTTGGTACATCCCTCCCTGCTCCCTGCCCCACAATTGGGGAAGATACAACGGCCCATGAAAGGAGGCCATATGGAAGCCTGAGAACTGAAACAGACTTGACTTTCCCATGTAATAACATGTGAAATATGTCTAAGGAACTCAAACCAGATGGGGACAGGGGGGACCCAAGGCCCAAGAGCCTGGACTTCATACCTTCAAAAACCTGGCACATGGGGATATGAGAGACTCTCTGGAAAAGGCTTTGTTTAATTTTTCGTTTGTTTGCTTGAAAGTGCCATGAAGGTTAGTAAAGAGGGAAGGTGGCCTTTGCCAGCCAGTGAAGAGTTGGGAGAGAAACAGTGTAAGGGGAAAGAAGATCGGCTGGAATCAGGCCTGTGATGGGAGAAGGACTCTGATACTCAGCTTGGCAGAAATTACCATCCACCATGGCCTACACACCAAACTTTTTAACCTTGCTCTCGTTAGGGAGGATACGGTCTTCTCTCCCAGGAGTCACTGCTGGCTTAGGACTTGTGAAACTGTCACAGGACTTTGAGGAAGGGATTTCACAAAAGGGGTACTTCTGTTAGCAGAGCAAGAAGCCATTGGACTTGTTCTTGTTTCCATAATGGCATCTTCTCTTCTAGTAGGTACAACCATAGTGTGTTATCCTGACAGTGAAGGGAAGCCTTCTGTAGGATGCTTCTGGTGTTTGCTGGTACCTGGAGAGAAATAGGTGTTTCAGGGCCATAAAGTCTTGGCATCCACGGGGGGCCTAGTAGGGCTCTCAGCTACAACCTCAAATGCAAAGCAAGCGGTCTTTCTCTTCTGACTTGGAAAAACACTTATAGAATTTTTGGGACAAAGACCTTGCATTTTGGGAGGTAGCTTTCTCCATTTATTAGACAAATTACATCCTTAGAAAGTTCCTTTATAAAATAAGCCAAAAAACTGCTTTCTTGTAACATATACCAGTCAGTCCTAATTCTGGCCCCTGGAACAAAGCAAGACAAGCCTAATCTCTTTTCATTGCAGCAGCACCTGAGGCTTTCGGAGGTAACCGTCCTGTCTCCGTGAGGGTGTGGTCCTTCTTTAGGCCAGACACTGCTGGCTCTCTTAACTGTTTCTCATAAGACGTTTTCCAGAACCCCCACCTCTCCTTGTGCTTGTCATTTTTTTCTGGAAGTTATTCAATTGATCAGTTTCCCTCTTTAAATCTGGCTGTTACAACAGGATCAAGTACTCTGGAACCAGCCTGACCGGTTCACAACAGAATGAAACATTCGTTTCCCTTGATCTGGAGACCATTTCTAACAAGCAAGCATTGGCTTTCTCTGTAATCTGTCACACAGTTGGCCTCTTTTTGGGATTTGAGTTACCCACATACTTATGTTTTTTTCCCTTCTTTCCCCCTCAGCTCTACTGCCAAGTTAGATCTTCTCATTTTGAATTTATACAATTGATTTTTTTTTTTTTTCGAACCTAAATGCTGCGCTTGACATTAAGACATTTAAAGATCTTTCCTTTAAAAATCTTTAAATTTAAAAATCTTTCCTGGTTGTTTTTCTGCCCATTTTTCCAATCCTGGCAAAGTTTTTGAATTTTGACTCCTTCATCCAATGGATAATCTCTGACTCTGCTTCATGCCGCTTAAAACTAGTCAGATGAGCCTGTGTCTGTGTCCTTATCCTGGGGTGTGACCTGTGACATAGGATCAGTCCATCTGCAAGAGATCATAATATGTCTACACTGTGATTTGCCTGATGATTTAGGTCAGTGCTTCTCAAAGTGTGGTCCCCAGATCGGCACCTCGAATTTGTTAGAAATGCGAATTCTCCAGCCTCACCCCGCACCTTACTAGATCAGAAACTGTGAAGGAGGGGCCGGCAATATGTGTACCAATCCACCAGGTGATTCTGAGGCCCACTCAGACTTGGGAGCCACTGAGCTGGAGTTTCGGGGATGCAGATTAAAAAAAGATTCTAAAACACACAGACGACTGAGGGTCCGAGTCTGTTTGAGGAGCTCATTTATGAACAACCTAGCGAGATATTCTAGTAATGTGGGCTGATGTGTCTGTCCCAAGAGGAAATTCCCTCTGGACTCTGTTGGCTACATGACAAACCCCAGGGGAAGACCTGGGTTAGGGAGAAGCAACGTTCCAGAGAGAACCCCGAGGACTGAAGTCCACGGAATAGGGGAGTTGAATGAAACAGCGAACAGCAGGCTCAGGCCAGGGAAAGAAAGGATGAGTCTGAACGCCTCTGAGCCGTTGGGCTTTGGTGCATTTCCCAGAGGAGATTTGCAACCATTGAACATTTAGCAACCTCAGTTCTCATACCTTGCGTTTGCTTCCACAGGCCCATCTGCTAAACATCCCGAGCTGGAACTGGAAAGAGGGAGATGATGCAATCTGCCTCGCGGAGCTGAAGCTGGGGTTCATAGCCCAGAGCTGTCTGGCTCAAGGCCTCTCCACCATGCTCGCCAACCTCTTCTCCATGAGGTCATTCATAAAGGTAACGTCTCGTCCTATTAGAGCCCATTAGCCCTGGATTCAGTTTGTCGTGGGGTTGAGTAGAGAGCACAGCTTAAACTCAAAACAGATCGACAGGCTTTAACCACTCTGGTTAAGGAGAAATTCCTTGTTACAGATTTGGGCACGAGGCCAACTTCTTTCAAAATTATGTTTTTATTTTTATTTGGCACATCCACGGCCATTAAATGATTGTTCAAAGCACAAATCCTCTCTTTTTTTTAGATAAACCACATGTTTATCTATCAACAAAGCCTCCGCTGTTAAAACAAAAATATGATTTATATACATTCCATATGGCACCAGAGCGCCTAAAGAAAAGAATTATCATTTTGCTTTTTTTACATCAAGTGGCTGGTGGACCTCTCACTGTGCAGATAAATGCAGACCATGTGTTTGTGCTGAAGCCCAAACCCCAACAACATAATTCATTTATTTATTTCTGCACAATCAAGGAGGCCAGCAGGGCTGACATGCCACGGTTGTTTGAATGGAGAGTGGAACGGGGGGCCGACTCCTCAGCAGCGGCGCCCTGTGTGCCATGAGACGGGCGGTCTGGCTCTGCTCGTCTCCTCTTCAGCCGGCTCACCCCACAGAGTGGGCTGGGCAGCCCCCCCAGCGTCTCCAGAGTGGCCCCTGCCTGCCGGACCAAGCCAGGCAATGAAAGACCCAACTCTGTCTTCACAGGTCACGCCGGGGCATTGGCCTGGCCAGGGCAGGCCCATTTCCGGGACACTGGGTTGAAGGCCCGGCCCTTCCTAAGAGGGCTTTTGGAGTAATGATAACACCCGTCCTCATCTTTGGATTGTTCTTAGCCTAGACCAGTCAAGGAGGCAGACCAGGACAGGAAAACCTGCCCAGTTTGGGCCTTTCTGACTTGGCATTGGTGGCCATCAGCTCAGGATTTGGGCTTCGGTTTCCCTTTCCTGCAAGAGTAGGGATGGAGGTGGGAAAGTTGTGAGTTAACCAGGAGGTCCCATGAGGGGGGCTAGAAGCCCTGTGATCCTAGGTGTGATACCTCCAGCCCTTGGCTGCCATTACTGCTGTGTGTAGCACTGGTGGTCCGTTGTCTGAGGGAGTCGAGGTGATGGCCCTGGAGGCGGTGGGAAGGATGGGTGGGAAGAGTGGGGCTGAGACGACGGACCGACTACATGCATGGGCTCACCCAGGGCGTCCCCAGCCGTGGGATTAGAGCAGGGCTTTTCTCTCAGTCCTTACCCTCTCTACCCACCTAATTTACATTCCATAGGCAATTCCTAGATAAAAATCCTTTATGTGAAAGGACAAATTGTGCTGGAGTCTCTTCTATCACTTTAGCAAAGGATGCCTTGATCAAAAAATTCCTTCAGCTCCCTATGTGCCCAAAGACCTCAACTCCACAGAACTCCAGGCTCAGACCCAGCACACAAATAAGGATATTGTGGTTTTTTTCTTTTCTTTCCTTTTCTTTTCCTTTCTTTTCTTTCCTTTTTTTAATGGCTTTTTTAATCCAGGCTGCTATTCCCCTGCCTGGATGAAACTGAATGCAGGCTAAATGGAGTTGGCAGGGGAGATCTGTGTGGTGGGACTGAGAGGCATGCCCCAAAGCCAGATGAAGCCTTGTGTCTCCCACGGCTCTCGTGTTCAACACAAGGAACCCAGACCCCAGGATAAAGGACTGTCACCAAGAGAGCTCTTCTGGCTCATTCGTCTGAGCTCTGGTGGTTTCCTCCAGCAGGGAGTTACCCACAGGCCCAGGCACGAGGTCTGAGACCTGGGCTCTGCTTCCTTTTGTTGATGGAACACGGTCTTGGCAGGGCCCTACCACACATGGGGCACTTGACATGCGTATGTTTTGATTTTGTGGTGCCTGCATGGAAACTGGAGCTGCCTGTCAAGAAAATTAATAAAATGGATGTGACGCTGATTCCTCAGTGTTATTACCGAGCAGGGAGAAAGAACTTCTGTCCAACTCTCCTCAAGACCCTGCAGGGCCTCACCTCTGGAGCCAAGGACGTCCCCTTCAGCCTAGCGAATCCCACTGCCAAGTTCCTATTTAGGAAGAGCCTGTGGAAGAGGCCTGGCTGGGCCCTGGTATAACTGAAAACACATTTCCCTCCTAGGGTTATGTTACCGTGTCATTTCTGCCCGGGGCCAGGTCCCCCATGTTCGGAGGTAGCTCTCTGAACATGGCCTCTTGACATTCAGGTGGTCTTTGTGTTGGAATTTGCTAAGGCATGTGACCTGGAAATAGCAAGGTTTCCCTGCATCTATTGTTTTCAGTTAAAATAAGGACTGCCGGAAGCATGTGTTCCCTATTCTGTGGCATCATGCTGGTGCACTGACCCTCCAGATCCCAGATCCTTGTCTCCTTCTGGTCATGATAAACACCTTGATGATGGTCTCCTCACCAGTTTTATATATTATCTCCTGTTCTCGAGGTCACGGCGTCTTTACTCATTTTTATTGGGCGGGGGGCAGATGGAAAAGGAAATCTAGAAATGGATGATCGTTGCCAGAAATTGCTTCCTGCCCCAGTGTCCCCCATGTCCTCCGGCAGAGAATTCATTAGTACTTCCATAGGGACAGGAGGGCCTCGAGGATGGAGGGAGGTGGGATGAGGCTTTGGCGGATTCCATCCCTTGAGAACACTTAGTGTTTCTGGAAGCCAGAGGTGGAGTGTGTGCTCAGCCTGTCACTTGCCCTGGGTAGGTACAGCATCTGTTTCTTGGTTCTGAAGAATACATTGTACTCTCTCTATATATATCATAGGCAGAAGCACAGTGGCCGCCCACGGGGACTTTAGTGTCCATGAGACTGAAAGCCAAGGCTGAAAGGGAGGATAATAAAGCTTAGCAAGAGGGAGGGGCTCCTGCTATGCAGGGGTTCCAAGGGACCCAGGCCAATGGTACCAGCAAAATATGGGGAACACTTGTGTGTCCCCTTAGCAATATCACTTTCAAAGGCCCTTACCCCTGGGCCTCATTGCCCCCTTGAAAACCTGGTTCCCATGTTGGCTATGTCATCTCTGAATTGATCTAAACTTTTGGAGCATCTGTATTTTTAGCCCACATCTTTGGGGTAAGGAATTCAAGTGTGCTAACTACTGTTAAAGACTTTTTCCTGGCTATTCGTATGTAATTTGCTCTGCTTAACCTTCAAGGCATGGCCTCTGAAGTTTCTGGTATGCTGGGATTTGTTTAACAAATCCATGATAACCTGATAGCAAATAACTTCATGAAAGAGGCACGGGTTGGCCACTCAGGGGTCCTTGGACCCCACAGCCTATTGCTAATGCTAGGGTAAGCATTTTCTCCAGCAGCGCCCAGTTTTTGCCCTGAGTTCCTCCAGGGAGGGAAGGCAATGGTCCTGGTTCCTGAGACTAGTCTGTATCTCCACTGTCAACCAGGTGTGGAATATCCTGTGTATTTACTGCTATCTGATCTCCTACCACCTGCCTGTCAGGTTCCAGTGAGAATCTTCCTAAGGTCTTCTGTAAAGACCAAGATAATGAACTTATTTATTTAGCCTCTCTGCCATTGCCTTGCTCCTGAGTCCCTGAGTAAGTGGCCACACTTACCCTCCACTTGGCTTCCTCCTTTCAATGTATTTTAAGATCCATTGATTTTTTTTTTTTTCTTGGTTTTAGAGTTTTAGCATGTAATACTTTAGTTTCTCTTCAGCATGTGTGGTTTCATGTTGAGGCTTGACCTGCCATCTTTGTGAATTGTGCTATTATTCTTACTAGGATTAGCTGTCCTGGGCATGATAAATTGTATGTGTGGGTGTTGTGTATAATTTAGAGAGTGATTAACCTGGGTGGTTCAGTTGGCTGAGCATCTGCCTTTGGCTCAGATCCCCGGGTCTGGGGACTGAGCCCTGGATCAGGCTCCCTGCTCAGCTGGGAGTCTGCTTCTCCCTCTGCCCCTCCTCCACCTTGTTTTTTTTGTTTGTTTGTTTGTTTGTCCCCCCCCCCCCTCAAAGAAATAAATAAAATATTTTAAAATAAGAGGAAATACGGTAAGGGGGAAACTTAGCTAGTGCCAGAATCTTTGCTTTCTGTGGTTAGACATGGTTGCTTTGATAGAGATTCCCTGGGCACCTACTGTATTCCAGGCAGGATGCTAACCACACTGTCATTCTCATGGCTAGCAGGCACTCATAAGCTTCAGGAAGCTTCTGTTATGACTGGGATGCATGGGCGCACTTTTCCAAGATGCATTCTCTGGGTCTTGCTGGCCTTTCTCTCCAGCCAGCTCTATAAAGGGCAGAAGTCACTGCATTAAAACATGTGAACCTAGGCTGGGATGAATCGGGATAAGGAAATTACCAGGTTTTTCCAGAAGGAAGTGACATTACTTGCTGCTATATTCAGGGAGTAAAGCTAATTGGCTTCAGTAGGTGGCTCTGAGAGAAAATAAACAGTTCTTATTGGCTGATGGGTGTAAGCTCTGCAGACCTGAGGTGTTCATCCGTGTGAGGGAGACATACAAGCAACAAGGCTCAGCCCAGTGTGGAGTGGGCTGGAGGTGGGTGATGGGATCTCTGAAAGGGGGCCAGGGCTGCAACTGATAAGGGTGAAGGTGGCTTTCTGCTTCTGGGAGGGGATGCTGCTGGTGCCAGAGTAAAGGGTTTCTCCCGCAAAGTAAATCTACATAGCATAAGTGAGATAGTGAGAGGCGATCTGTTGCTTATTTCATATCCACAGGTGATGTCATCCCAATCACAACTTGTCATGAGAGTGAACTTCTGTAGATATGATACAAATATACTCACTTGCCATAATGTTTATTCTCATAAGTCCTCTATATAGAGGGTTCCCAAATTTGTATCTCCATCTGGAACCTCCCCCCGAACGCAGTGTCATCTAACTGCCACTCAGCATCTCTATTTGAGTTTTGCATCTCATCTGAGGCCTGACATACCCAGAATTGAATTCCCGTTCTTTGTCCGAAGACACGGGCGAATATATTTGGAGCCATCCCCAGCTTCTTTCTTTTTCTC